TGATCTCGTGCCCGTCACACGATCGCGACTTGGCGGCTGGAATTCCACCCAGCATATCTAGCAGTGGGATCCATGGGCTTAGGCAAGTGGCTACTTGCTTCACCCAAGGTATAAATGGATTAAGATGGATTAACCATACTTACCTGGGCGTGTACCCCCACTATCCCAACTTATGGATAGCTTCTAGGATTTTAAATCCTTTCATGGCTATACCATGATATATAATGGTATATATACTGGTTGGTGGTTGACCTACCCCTCTGAGTTCGTCAGTATGATGAACTTCCCAACTGAATGGAAAGTCATAATCCAGTCCATGGTTCCAGTCACCACCAACCAGATATTAATTGTTATTCCAATTATTAACCATTATTAGCCATAGATTAACCATAGATTAACCATAGATTTCCTATGGATTCACCATACCCCAGAAAAACCCAGGGATAGTTCAGCCACTTTGGATGTTCCGACTGGATGAGAGCCATGGCTGCATGGACGTCCTTGTTGAGCGCTTCATCCTTGTCGTGGTCGAAAACCTCCAATGCCACACCGGCCTCTGCGGTAACAAAAAAACCTTAGAGGAGAAGACTAGTGATAGATAAATTCTGAGAAATTCACTCAATCTATACTAGTAGTGATAGATAGTTATGATAAATTATGATAAATTATGATAAATTATGATAAATTATGATGTTCCGTTCATCCCATACTGATAGATATGGACAGTGCAATCCGAAAAAACTAGCTGCCTATCCTGACCTGTGTCCATCTGGAGGATCCCACAAATCAACTGCAAATCACCAGCTTCCGGATGATTTCTCTGACCTGACCCCTTGCCAAAACCTCTTCAGAAGGGATGGAAAAGTGGAACAAATCCATGGGTTTTCGTATGATTTCCTAAAATCCATGGGGAAAACCCATGGTGTTTCCTAGGTTTTTCCCCAGTTCTATTTGCGTTTTCCCCAATGCATTTCGCTCCTCCTGGTGCCTGCCTTCCAACCCGGTCACTTTTCCCAATTTCCACCTCTTCCTCCACATCCACAGAGCTCATCGCAGCATCCTGCCATACGAAATGCGAAAAAATACCTCTGAACTTCAGAAAAATTGATTGAACCCAGTTTTTCCAGTTTGTAGCTCAAAATGTTTTGCTGAAATCATGTTGCTCCGGGGTATAGAAACTTCCTGTCTCTGCATCCTCTCATTGCTGGCAGATGATCAGCATCTCCCAAGTCGAGAATCGATAATTAAGGATGCGTCCTCTGTGTGTGTGTGTGCCTGGTTAAAATCGAATCCCAAGATGTGCTTGAATCCATTGGATACATTATCTCTACATTTTCTTGATTAAATCCAGTAAATCTCAGTATGTATTAATATTTAATATTGTTTCAGTGATACTATATTGGATTTGCTTAAGGAACCCCCCAAAAAATGAAAGATATTCCCTTAATAGATACCCTTTAAGTAGTAGATTTATGGAAATAGGGGAAATTAAAAAAACACCACTTACCCTCTGGTAAATTAACATAGACCCTGGCAGATAGGGGTTGGAAGACTAGTTTCCATTAAAAATAGGTTATTTTCAGGGTCCAACTGTTAATTTACCAGAGGGTAAAAACCAGCAGAAATATATCTAAGTCCCCAAGGATTTTGCCGAGATCCCAGAGCTCCGCTCCTCCTTCGCAATCCATTTCGCCATCTCTTTCTTCGAGAGGAAACCGTCCGAGTTGGCGTCTAAGCCTCGGCGATCTGAGCGGTGCGGAGAAGGGCGCGCCTGGTTGGGAGAGGTGGATGATTTGTTACCCTCTGGTTATGTCAAAATAGCTATGGAAAATGGCTATTTATAGTGGATTTACCCATTAAAAATGGTGATTTTCCATAGTTATGTTAGTTTACCAGAGGGTATCTGTAATGTGGATCAATAAAAACTTAAGGATTCTTTGGGGGAGATGACAAGTGATGATTTGTTGAATATGTTTTGGGGAATGTGATTCTTTGGGATCGAAGATTCGTGCGATTATCAAGGATGTCAAGCTGGGATTGACAAAACTTGCAGGAGCTGTTTTGTGTCATATGAGCCATGGTCAATATGGTTGATGGTCATCCCATCCATAATAAGGATCCAAAAATAATGGTTATTATAAATCCCTATGAACCATTGGATGACTAGCCCCTATTAATGGTTATTAACCATGAGTATTGACCATAGCTCATATAAGATCAACAAAAATTCTTTCAGGTCAAATCATCTCTGGTAAAACTTTGGGATCAACGCAGTTCTTTTCACCAAGTCGCGAGAGAAGAGACCTGGAATATCATTTTTGTCCTGGCCATGGTCAAGGTACATGGGATACATATATGGATAAATGGTATATGCTCATCCTTTCCAAATAATGGAAAATGGATGATTTTTTTCATGGGGATGTTCTGAGCCATGGAGGTATCCCAATAGCTATATGGTTTATTGAGTTTATTGTTTATTTCATGGGAAAATGCGAAAATCATACCCGGCCTAGCAAACAGCCACAGAAAACGAACTGGACAGATCCACCATGCTATGAATAGGTAAATCCACTATTTCGACTGGGCCATGGCTTCCATCACAAACTCTTTGTTTGTTTACCAGGCATAGTCGGATGATGATGCCAGGTATCCCCATGACGTTTCGGAAAGCACCAGGTATATGGAGACATGGGAGAAAACCCAAAACCTGGCAGGTGGGCACTAAATCACGAAGTTTTAGTGGATTGATGACCAGCATTTTTTGTGGATTGATCCACCTGCCAGTGGTCATGATTTTTGGTCTTTCCACGATCGTCCATGATCTGGATTATAGTGATATTATAGTGATATTATAGTGATATAGTGATATTATAGTGCCATGATCAATAATGATTTGGATTATAGAAATTATTATAGTGATATTATGCTGCCATGATCACTTATATGGTCCAAGGTGCCACGATCATGGCATATCATGGCATGACAGGAATGCGAACTGCTATCCTGCTATCTGTAGAAAACAGTGGCATTGCCCAAAGAAAATCACTTTCGGCAGGGGAGTATGTTCCTCCGTGACCTGCGAAAAATGGCCCATTGACCTACAATTCTCAGATTCCTGATTGAATTTGTTGGTTTTCCCAGTCATATCGGTGTCCACCATTTTATGCTGCTAAGCTCTTTATGGTTGGTTGTCCCACCATTCACCGGCAGGTTTACTCACTTAAACTCCTATTCCGGATCATGTTCGAGTTTTTTTGGCGTTATTAGTAGTTAAACTGAAACCTCTGTTGTACATTGTTGTACACCATTATTAATCAGTAGGTTCCCCTCTAAAATCGTGTTTAAATTCCTATTCTTGTGGGTTACTTCAACCCCATTTTGTCCTGGTTACATCCCTACTTTTTTTTCCATGGCCAAACTTAGATACCCTGCAACATAATGGTGTATGTTTACATTTACAGTATATATTCCCATATATTCCCATCAAAATGGGAACGGAAATCATACTGAAAGGTGTTGAACTATCCATGGTTGACCTGTTGACCAACGATTTCAGCGAATTTTCCACCTTCTCTTCGGCCGCCACTAGGAGGACGAGAGTCACCAGGCATGCGCGACCTGGGTTGGGGGTGGCGCTCCGTGTGAAGCCTGGTTTAGCTCTGTCTTAAAATTAAAAGTGATGAGTGGATATTTGGGTATGGGTCAAAACCTTGTACCCCTGGTGAACATCAAAATAGCTGGTAAATGGATGTTCATTCCCCTAAAAATGGCATTAATAGGTATTGATCCATACCCATTTAGGTCTGAAAAGTGACGGTCGATTTTTCAGAATCGTATGTTGTGGATCACACTGCCTGCAATTGCAATTGCCTGAAACACCGAGATGAACTTGGCAAATGAAAGAAGTGCTGCCACTGTTGGCAACTGACCAATACGATTTGGAGGTTTCCAATCCACAAGGACCCCCAAATCATCCATTTATAATCCGAATTTTCTACCATCCAGCTATTGGGGTAACCCCATGACTTAGGAAACCCATGGAAACCCCTGGAAACTCCGAGTGCGGAACAGACCCGCATGGCCCTCAGACAGTCCGAACAACGGCCCCCTAACCTACGCAGTTTCTGTAATGTGACACGTGCCGTGGGTGTCCCAAGATGTCCCGTATACGGACCTCTGAGTTCTCCAAGGCCTGACATGACATGAGATGTTCATGGTTTAACTGGAGCCCAAAGGCTGCGAACGACTCAGTCGCCCAATCTGCCAGTTTTTTTTATGGGAAAGCCAGCTATATATAACTGGTAGGTCCAAGAGATATGGAGTTAAATTTAGTGTAAGAACTGGAATGACTCAATTATAACTGATAACCATCTATAAACCTATAACATAAAAGCCAAAAAATGTATCAAAATGAAGGGTCCAAGGATTGAAAACAACCTGAAACTTTGAATTGAAATCCACATGATCTCCCATCCTTCTGGAAAAGCTGCATCCATTTTGGTCGCTTGGTCATGCACTCGGTGAGACATGGTGGCATGGTGTGTCTCAACCTTGGGAAGCAACAAATGTTGGTTCTGTGAAGTGTGTACCCTCTGGTAAACTAACATAACTATGGAAAATCACCATGTTTAATGGGAAAACTCACTATTTCTATGGCCATTTTCAATAGCTATGTTAGTCATTACCAGAGGGTATATATCTAGAAAATCACCATTTTGATGGGTTGTAAGCCATAAGGGTTTCCCAACTCAGAAAAATTCTTCATCCGCTGCCCCGGAGAAACACCAAACACGTGAGACGAGTCAGCAATAGTCAGCAGGCAGTGAGACGAGTCAACGCGGGAAGATCTGCCGTTTTCTCAAATGGTTTTTGAATGGTCAAAAACACGACCTCACTTTCCCAGAATTGCTTAAAAAAAGATGTTTTTTTGGGGAGAAACCATAGGAAAACCCCATGGTTGATCTTCGGGATGGATCGATGGATCATGGTTTTCCAGCACCGTTCTGGCCAAAGCTCGGTGATAAACTTCCCGGTGGTTTTCTGTGAACGGTGACCCTCAGAGGTATGGATTCTGCTGCGTGGTGACCTGTCGATGGAGTGTAAATCACAGGTGGTGAATTTTCCTGAACGGGGCATAGTGATACTTATGGAGGAAGAAAATCTATGCTTCTAAAAAAGCCTTTCCTAAACATCCAACCCGGCGAAAACCGCGGAATGGCACGGGTCACATTTCGAAGTCCATTTTGTGTGGCAGGTGCGGGATGGTTTTGGAGGGTAGAAATGCGACTGGGGCAAGGGGAAGGGCGCGCAGGCATACACCAAACATGTTCAGAGTCAGAAGGCTCAACGCAACTTTTGTCCTACTGTGGATGGTTGCGAAATCCTGCACCACCCTGGACCTTAGATGGTCGAAATCCTATAAATAATGGGATAAATGTATGATAAACCACCTATCAACTGGTGCAGGATTTCGCAACCATCCACAGTAGCAGTATACATCACTTCTCATTCCAAGGCTTCCTGAAGCTGAGTACATAAAGCTGAGTACAGCAATTGCTAGTGTCCTGTGTCTAGTTGAGTTGGGATCATCGTACAGTAACCGTTACTAGGGTTGAAACTATCTGAAAGCATCAACCAGTCAAACAGTTGGTTTACGACCTTGATTTTTCCCCATCGAAGTATTTTTAGATGGATATATGATATACCCCTAACTATAAAGATAGATATCATTTAATATCCATCATATGTTCAAATATATATATATACGTATATATATATATATTATGTATATTATATTATATATATATTTATCCACCATATCTGCTAGTTATTCTTGGTATATCCACCTTATTTTCAAACAACAAGCGCGGCACCTTATCGCTGAGGTGGTACCAGTAGGTGTTGAGCCTCGTCGCTGCCAACGGTCCAGCGGTCGCTCCATGGGACGTCCGTTCCTTCATAATTGATACCATCTGGTTATGACTAACATAGCCATGGAAAATCCCTTCTAAATGGAGGTTTCTAGCTGGGAAAATCATCATATTTAATGTCAACCCTGGATTAATAAACCCCGTTTACGGCTGTTTAGTTGGTAGGGAATAGATGGAATAGCATTTAAGTATCAGATGAAATGACTATTGGAGGAGTACCCCCCTAATTAATAAACCATGGTTTATTAATTAATCCAGGGTTGACGTTATTCATATTGTCTCACTGGGGTCTATGATAATTAAAAAAAAACACCATTGATATCTATTGATATAGTGATATTTCACCATTGATCTTTCACTATTCATGATAAGTAAGTTCGGTTAACCCCGATATCTATTCTAATATTTCACGGTTTCTGATGGTCAGATATACCGAACTGGTGAACTAAGTAGTTTGTGAAACTAAACCAACATCAATGCATCAATGGAGAGGACATACTCTGAGTGTTTACGTCGTGATGATATATTTTTTTTGTATGGCATCTGGCCCACCTGAACAACTGGCGTGCAAAAAAATGCTTCCTGTCCACCATCTTGTGTTCTGTAAATACCAGGTTTTCCGACAAACTACAGGGCCAGCATTTTGTTGATATTCAGATTATTCAGGTGTGGTTTTTCCGGACCTTTCTGAAGTTGGGCGTACAGGAAGACAGTGATGTGACTGGAAATGTCCCTGAAATCATCAGGATCCGCCGCCAAAATTTGCAGCTGTTCAGCCATCCAAGGCACCCTTTCAACTCATTTTGATGGATAGATGTTGCGAAAGATTTAGAGTCCCAAGTCATGACTAATCTTAGATACTATCTAACCCGAAAAAATTGTCATATAGGAATCACATCTGCAGCGTGGTGGTCTCCAATTTTTCCCTGTGTTCAAGACTTCAAGAAAGATTCACCAATGTACACCCAGCTCCAGTTCAAGTAGCATCCCCCAACTAACAGGCCCATGATTTGGGGAAGAGAATTCCGACGCTTCCCAGAGTCCCACAGTTGATGGAATATTAGCCCCCAATTCGCTCATAACCCAGGAGTAGTAAGCTATCAGTTTACAGTGGAACACGCCCATTCTTCACCGTGATTCATCGATTTTGGGCAAGGACTCAAAGTTTTGATCCAGATCACCATCTAAGCCTTGAGGGGTCATTCAAAAAAACCACTGTTTTTGTCCATCGCAATTTTTGTCCATCGTTTTCCATCGTTTTCCCATGGTTTTTCCCATCGTTTCAGCCATCGTCCAAGGCACTGATCGTCCTGGAAGGCCAACCATGGCCCTCCCTCCCGCGCCAGCCGCGCGCGATCGATGAGCCGGGCACATTCCTCGTACGAGCCACGTTTGACGCGCCGGGAGGGGGTGATCCTCGAGGCATTTCTTGGATTTTTAAGGATCTGATCGTTAACAGAGCCATGAAAAATATGGATGAAAATGGCAATGATGGTTATCAAACAATAATGGTTAATATATGGTTAATATATGGTTAATATATGGTTAATATATGGTTAATATATGGTTA